GTCACCTAGAACTGGTTGGCCACCCAGAAGACTGACCTCAGTCTTCAGCCCTTCTGGAAGCTGAGCTATTAACACAGAGCCCAGAGCTCCCACTTTATCTGACATGGCCTCCAGGTAAGTAAAGACATTCTTATCAGACATAACATTCCAATGGCTTAGAGGTCACCCTCCTGCCCCAGAGCCTCCCCACACAAGGGAAAGGCCAGATTAATTCTTTACTAAATAAACAGGGCTAAACTGATTGTGTTTTTAACTTATTTTCATAACATGTTACCATCCCACATTTATAAATTATCCTCATGATAAAAGCAAGGAAAGATCTCCACCTCCACGTCATCAGTAAAATATTTCCAACCACACAGCAGAAGACTCTACTTCTGGGGAAGTAGTACAGAAATCTCCTTCTGGGGAAATCTTTTCATCCATTGAGTATGGCTCCTCTGGGAATAGCAGTGAGAGAGGCTACGTTTTGTCCTCTTCCTAACTTTCTCCCTTGGTTTTGGGGCTCCGTTTAACCTCAAGCTTGTAGCCTTCTGTGGACTGACTGTTGGCATTGCCTCTGTGGTTTAAATTTGTTGACTTTCACAGCAACTAAAAAAGTCTCTTAAGAATGACAAAAATAAACTGTGTGTATGGATTCAAAAGATAGAGTTAATTAAAAGTTATCAAGTTACCTGTTTCTAGAAACTTTAAAATAGGTATTTGAGGATTATCTCCTCACTACAAAGTCATTTTCCCACTAGATTTAAGAATACAGCTGTGTTTTAAAGTGTGATAATCGGTAACATGCCAGGTGACCCTAAAAATATTTAGAAGAAGTCAACAGCAATTTGCATTCCCTTATCCCGAACAATAGAGTCTTGACTTACTAGCATACACTTCCAAACTCTGCCGTCAGCCAGCTGTGAGCTTGGGCTTGTCATTTTAACCTTCTGGTTCTGCTTCTTTTTTCTGTAAAAAATAAGAATTGGACCAGATCATTTCTAAGTTTCCCTTTGCTTCTAGCAACTCTCCCTCAGAATAAAGTAACATTTTATGAATTTAAATTGTTGTATGACACAACACGGTGACCAAATGGTGAGCCAGTGACATGCGGGTTGGTAAAAGAATTGACCAGAGATAAAGTACGAGAATAGAAAAGGGGTTTATTAGGGTTCACTGTTCTAGACAACAGTGGGCCGCACAGAAGAGAGGTGCCTGTGTGAGCCCTGAGGGCTGGTTGTTGGGGTGTTTTATAAGGTTGTGTCACAAGGTGCCTGATCGGCTTGTGCACAAGTCTTTGATTGATTGTAAATGAGGTAAGAGGTTTGGGGTCTGTGAAGGGCAGTGGGAATTATGACTCTGATAAGGTGGGCTGGAAAAAACCAGCCTGAGCTACTGTGACATCAGGCATTCGCTAGGGCTATTAGTTTGTTAGGGCAAACATGCCCAGAAAGGATGTACTTTATCTGTTGAGGGATCACAGGCAGGCATCTGGGAGCCCAGGAACGGGGGTCATTGGACTCTGAAGGACATCAGTTGGCCCCACATAAATGAGGACTCCTGAAGCTGAGGCTGCGCATAAATAAGAATCCACTTTGTTTCCAACATTTACCTTTTATAACTCAAAAGAAGAAACAAAGAATCTTTAGCTAAAATATGTAAAGTAACTAAACATTTTTTAAAACATATCAGCTCCTTAACAAACACTTAGAGAGCACCAACTATGGACTAGTAAAGTACAACTATTTGAAATATTTACCTATACTTTATTTTGTGAATGATTCAGAGCAAAATGTCAGCTAAGTGGAGATTTTAATAATAGCCTACCTAATACACAGTAAATATGATAGAAAGTAGAACATGGGGAATTTAGCTTAAGGTTATATGCCTTCAGAACTCTGTGACTTTCTAAGCTGATTTTATAATTAGAAGGATATTTTTAGCTTATTTTTCAATTGGAAGGGTTTATTATACTCATCTTAATATACGTAACTTCACTTGAATATTTTGATTTTTTAAAAATCTTTTCTCCTCAGTGCAGCAAAGTGTGAAAGCTTCCACTTAGTATTACATCAAATTGAAAGGGCAGTGAAACCATGCTGAGCAGCAGGACCTAGTGATCACCCATACAGGGTACCTGCTCTGAGCCTGACAAAAGACGAGGAAGACACCAGGGTACTCACCCTGGAGGAGCCCATGTCTTAGTGTGAGGACAGCCCTATTCACAGGGAATTATAGTGCCAGGCAATGCTGCTGGTTATGCTGGTTATACAGGGTTAAGGGCCCGGGTACGGGGACGCTCTAGGGAGCAGCAGCCAGGAAGTGTGAGAACTTGGGGGGTGGGCTGGGCAGTCCTAGCAGAGGAAGATGGCAGGGAGTGGGGCATCTGGTAAAGAGCCCATCGCAGAGCCAGGAGGCTGGCCTCAACCCTAGGGACTGGGACTCCAACAGATGTTTTAAGCAGGGGAGGGACAAAAGCAGACCCCTAGGTTAGAAAGAGAACAGAGAGTGGGATGGACTGGGGAGAGGTCCAAATACCAAGGAGAGGATGCTCTGAAAGACTCTGAGGACCCAAGGGGCTCAGTGAGGCACTGACAGGTGGGATGACAGCAGGTATAGAGATGTTGAGGCTAGCTCTCACATCCTGCCTGGCCTCCTGGTTGGCTATGGTGGTGGTGGGGATGTCAGTGCACTGGTGGAGTGTTTAGAACACATTCTGGTGGATGTGGCCAGTGGGCACATGACAGGGTAGAGCTCAAGAGAGGGCTGTCTGGAGAGTCCTAGAATGAGTCAAGGAAGGGAGGGGCATGGGCTGGAAAGAGAAGACCAGATGACAGGCAAGCAAATGTTCTTAGGCCTCAAGGGCAAGAGGAGATCAGACCTGTCCATCCTGGCCCCTAGATAGGAACTAGCGCTGAGAGGCATCTTTAAGAACCGGTTTGTGGAGTTAGAGTTGGGGGAGGATTGGCTGGGCAGGGGACCACCAGGGGCTCCAGCTGGAGTCTGGGAAGCAGAGCTCCCCTCCAAGCAAAAAGGGCCCCTCCTAAGCAGCTTTCTCTCCTTTCCCGCCCCATCCCTCCCTTTACCACGACTTTGGCGGCTAAGCAATGCATTAAAGCCAACCTCCTAACTAGTAACTGAACCCCTCCCACCAGGAGTATTTGCTTCCAAAAACAAGGAATTTATTCATTTAAACAAATGCCCCGTGGGTGGGATGTGCAGGGGAAGGTGCAGGAGGAGATTTTCCACTTTGGTCTGCGATGCACTCCCCACCACCCCAGGTCCACTCCGGGTGGCGGGAACTGGCCCTGGCCGCGAGAGGCACCCAGCCCTGCCCAGGGAAGCTGAGAGCGGCGAGTGGACGGGCTGCCCTCAGAAAAGGACACTGAGGAGTTGTGTCCTGCGCCAGCTGTCTTGCTGGCCATACAATCAGATATTCCACGCTGTATCTCCACATCACACGGGACCACTCACACTCCCCTCGACTCCAGTTTCTCATTTTTGCTTGTTCTCCGTATCTGGAAGCGAGTTGAACTAGCTAACACGAAGGTGCAGGTTCCAAGAGGCAATGTGACCGGGCAGGGAAACAGGGTGAAGGTTTGGGAACACTGTTTCCTCTCCGCTCGCTCCCCTACACCTACACCGGGCCGCCAGGGCCTCAGGGTAGCTGGGGGCGGCCAGACTCGACCGGCAGAGGCCTCGGCGCTGGCCCCCTCTCCACAGTCAGGTCGGTCAGGAGCGGGCGTCCTCGAGAGTCCCTCGAGGCTGGGCCCAGGGCTGCAGAGGCGGGGGTCAACGGGTCGGTCCCTCTGAAGAACCTCAGAGGATGGGCGGCGTGGGCGAGGTGGAGGTTCAGGGGCGCGCGGAGCAGAGTCACTTTGCCCCTACCTTCCAAGTTCGCCCCGTGAGCTGGCGGGGTCCGACAAGACGGCGAGAAGGGGGCGGGAAGACCACGGCGCAGCTCGCCCGCCCCCACCCATTCTGCCCTCCTCGCCTGCCCGGGCGGAGCGCGACCGCGGCGGAGGAGGGAGGCGCGGG